AATCAAAACAAAAATACTTTGTTCAAATCAAAACAAAAATACTAGCCCATCTGGTGGCTGTTGGCACAAGCTTCTAAGAAAATTCTATTACAGCGAACCACATTATTTCAATTGATTTCTTCGCCAGTTAACCGTCTGTTACTTCGTTTGTGATCATATATTAAGCTTACTTTTTACAGATTCAGCTTGTAAATATAGATTGTGACAGTATCTATAGTTAATTTTTCCATAAGTTTTACATCAAAATGTAACTCTTACTTATTTAAACACCACTTTCAACTAGCGAAACATTGTTTAGTTTCAGATCACTTCCCTAATAAAAATAACCATAAAAGAGAGCTTAACGATGTGTTCGGGGTATCATCCAAACCATTTGTGGGATAGTTTATCCATCCGGGATACAGTTCGTTTATGGTATTTGCTTATTAGGGTTGATAAAGAGTTCTAGATAAACATTTCAAAAGGTCCTATCTGCATTGATCGATTCTCTTCATGGACTTTCTCTTTAGTCAATAACTCAGCTGCAAAACCTTTCCCTGTTGTATTTGACGTTGTGGACGCTAGATAAGAACCTCCTTTATCAAACTATGTGGAGAAAGTCGATTAAGAGAATCGATCAAAACAGATAGGACCATTTGAAATGTTCATCGAGAGTTAGTTTTTCTGGTTGCAGGGCTTCATAAATAAGAACTAAAGAGCCTAAATTTATAAAGAGGCGACATGTCAAAATTGGAACATTCGATTGTCTGTCAAAGTCATAGGAAAAGTCATTTTAATGGAGCAGAAGACCTGTCAAATGGAAAAGATGTCGTCTCTTTACAAATTCAGGCTCTTTAATAAGAACCATAGACAACAATAGATTACGTGAGCAACGACATTGACACTATTAAACAACAATGTTTCTATATTGTACAGGCACCCCAGTATTATCAACAATCAATACGAAACTAACGATTTTAAATTGGCTCACTACTTGACTAGCCTATTGGTCCCAAGCAAACGATTAACGTACCCCATTCTAGTCGAAATTCTAGTACTACGCAATGTTTGTTTTGATTCGCTATGAAAGTTTGACAGATAAAATGAGGGGTTATTGGTTTTTCCTATGTTTCGAGGGGTGATTCGATTAGCTTGGGACCGAAGAGAGTACCAGAGCTGAGCCAAAAAGTTGAGCACGTTATTTCGGGACCTTCTAGTCTTAGAGTTACCTCTATGGTATTATGGGCCAGCTAGTCACTATTATGGGTCAGTCAGTTATGCGTGTTAATCAAATGGAAGTGGCCCTTAATTGTGAATGGCCCATAATACTGGGGTGACTGTATCTGATAGCATTTTTTCTCAGCTTTCAGATGGTGAGCTCAGAATCGAAGGTTGCAAACATAGTGAAAAATACGTCAGATAAAATTCAATATGGCGGCCAATTCCAAGATGGCCGCCAAAAAAATGTTCATTCCAAATGAAATTCCTATCCTTCCTTTTCATAATGAAATTTTGTTTGCAGGAGGGTTCCATATGAAATGTCAAAAATTTAACATGATACATATGTCTAATAATTGCTAGAAATTCAACTTTTTTGAAAATTGTAAGGCCCCTTGGTTAGCGAGGGGTCAATTCATTTGAGTTAAGGAAAGTGGCAATCTAATGTTTTCATCGGCTCCGACCAATCAAGCGGATATATTCAACTATTTAAAGACCATGTGGCAATGGTGACCTAGTTTCAACGAGAATTACTCATATCCGAACTGCAACTTCAACCTTTCACAATACAGTGTTGTAATAATGTCGGAAAATTGGTTCACTGAACTGTGGTAATGCGAAGAGAAAATCGACGAAGAGAATTGATCATCGCAGTTAGGGCCTTATGCTTATGAACGCTAGATATGTTGATTTTGTAGGTGTTAATAGGGGCAGTTCCCCATTAATAAAAAAAAAATTATTAATCCATTGTTCGTAGAATGGGGTTGTCCACATACTAAGTAGATAGCCCCAAGCAAGTCACTTTCGTCTCTAAAAGCTGCGGCAAATTGATTGTGACCGGAATAAGTCGCATATAGCCCCGTAACGTGGGTAGATCACCTTTTCGTGGTACGTTACGGGATGTAAGATCTACCACCGATTCCTAGTCCTAACTTCTTTAAACTAGGGGAACAGGATTTTTCAGTAATCAAAGGAACACATCTTAGTCCTTGTTACTTTTTATGCCTTGTTGATTGTGATAAGTCCTCGGGTTGCCTGGACCGAGGATGATCTTGAAACAAGGAAAAAATTAGTTAGTTAGTCTTCACCTATGTGATTCCTAATCTTCTAATCGTTGTTCCCTAGTTTGAAGTGGTTAAGACTAGGGTTCTGATGCATGGTCATTATCGGTGTCATAGCTTGTTTTTGTTGTTAAGGAATCCAATCTTGACTGACAAAGGGGCGCGCCTTTGGAGGGTGTTCCAACTCCGAAGGGTATAAATAGCGGAACCTTTCAGTTAGAATCGATTCCTTGCGATGAAGGCAAGAATGACAACTGTATCAAAACCGAATACTTTATCATTTCTCAATAGTGATGGAGTAATACGACATGCACTAAACTAAGGACACGGGATATACTACAATAGATCAAATTACTGGTCGCAGTGATGTTATGTCCCGAACAGAGGAAAAAAAAAAGTCGCATATAAGCTGCTATAACCATTTTTCGACAAGTGTGCTGCTATGGAGCCGTTCAAACCTTTTTTTTTTATTTGTAGGGACTTCAAACAATCGGCAAAACCTTCTCCCTCCTTTAACTATTTGCTTAGTTCACTTTTCAACATCAAACTAGGAAATTGATGCCTACTAATAATTTTAAAGAACAATTTTGGATACGTTGATTTTTAAAATCATAGACATAAGGTAATTTTCAGCATCCCGGTCAGAAAAAAATCATGACTGATGGTTTAAAGATTCTAGAACTGGGAATATCTCATGCCGATTTCCTGAAACCGGTTTAAAAAAAAACTGCTTTGAATAATATAAAACAAGTTCTTTGACATAAGAATCAGAAACAGATCTCAGATTTAGAAAAATTTTCACACACAGCAGCAGAAAACAAAAATCAAGAACTACACCTTTTCAAGATTTTAGTTCAGGTTTCAATATTTCCAGAAGGCCACAATTCACTGTTTAACGATCCATAATTTAAAAAAGTTAAAATAAAATCGAAGACAACAAATCAAGAAGACTGGCAACTCTTCCATTTTTTCATACGAACGCTATGAGACAGATACAATCGCGGCCCATGCATTAATTATGTCACGCTAAATTGAGTAAAAAATTACCCCCTCCCCCCTATCGTGACATTTTCCTATACCTAATGCATTGCTTGTCACAAAATCTTAGACCCTCCTCCCTTAGAGCGTGACATAATATATGCTGCAACCCTAAGGTAAATGCTTCGAACGAATTTGATAGCAAAGATTACATCCTCAGAGGAAGGGTTTGCGTATTTGTTATGAATTTTTCTATGCGTTGCTTCCACCTTCACTCAAGCGCAGCGCCATTATATTTGTCGCTTGGACTCTGGCAAAGTTGCCAGTCTTTTTGATTCGTTGTCTTCGATTAAATCCAAGACCTGATGAAGTTTTTATGATTCTGGTAGAAATATTTAAAATACCGAACTGTCAAAAATTATTAAGAATCTGGGACATGGAAAATATACTGTACCAAAAATTATTGGTATTCGGTTGAATGACTACGGCCTTGGATGTGATATCAATCACATCTGATAATTAGAGATGGTCGGGTTTGTAATTTTAAAACCCGACCCGATTCCGAAAATTTAGTTTTCTGAATACCCGTACCCGATCCGAACCATTCATTGGACACATTTACTTTGTGTTTTTGTTAAGGCACATTAATTAATTTTTTTTAAACTTTAAAGGAGATTTTCAGCCATGGGCTAGTTCATCTTCGAAGGCACGTTAATAATATGTGTTATTTATTGAAGAAATTCGCTAAAAAGTTTGTTTTGATGCTCAAAATCATTACTTTCTTTATTAGATAAGATGCAATATGGGCTAGTTCATCTTCGAAGGCACGTTAATAATATGTGTTATTTATTGAAGAAATTCGCTAAAAAGTTTGTTTTGATGCTCAAAATCATTACTTTCTTTATTAGATAAGATGCAATAAATACCCGTACCCGACCCGAACTTTTTTTTTATTAGCTTATCCTTACCCAACCCGAACCCGTTGGGTTACAGGTACGAGTCGGGGGTAAAAATATCAGTACCCAACCATCTATATTATAAGATAACCATGGGTTTCAATTCGTACAGAATAACATTCGTTCAATTCTGTACAGAAAACCATTAGTTGAATAAGAAGAAAAGCAAAAAGAAGATGAATAAGAAGAAGTTTACTCTGAAAGAACAGTTCATGATAAAAAGAATGGAAAATAGTATGATCAATCAAATGACGCATAAAAAAAAAATCCCATATCAAACCCAGCTAAGCCTTTGGCTCTCTTGAGATTGATTGCAAAGAACAGCTTATGAGAGAAGGAATAATTTTGTTTTTGTGATTTTTCATTTAAATATGAATTATGCCTGTCGGCCATTATGCCTAACGTCCATTATGATAACCATCCATTATGCCTATCGTATATAATGCCTATCGTATTTATGCCTAACGTCTTGAGGAAATGTTCATTATTCTGGAAAATGGGTAGCAGAAATCCAGGATTCAGAAACTTGCAAAAATTTCTAACTTAGAATAATTTTCTCTAAAGAACTATGATAATTTGTACAATTTGAGTTTATGCGGCGCTTTCAGTAAATTGAAGAAAAATGATAAGGGGGGTTACGTTTTTCATTTAGAATTATTAGCTACAACTATTATAGTTAAACAATATTATGTTCGTTGCAAGAAATACCACTTGGAAGCCGAGCCATTACATTCATTCGTTCTTATATTTATTTTAAAATCACTTTAAAAAAATTTGTAAACGATTCTCACTTGTAATATCAACATACCTGCATTCTGGGAATCCGCTGGATAAAGTTGTGTATAGTAATGGTTTGCTGGTTCATAGTAGGATTCCGATTCACACACCGGTTGGCAAATTTCACCATCCGAAGACTCAAAGCTGGACATTTTGTTGTACATTTACGTCAGAATAATTGCCTTATGCGATAAATCTGGATTAATCTTAATCACTTATTCTATTTTCACTGGATACAAATTTTCACTACTCAAGCGCGGCTACGTACACCATGTGAATGACTTTGAAAACTTTCCTAAATTTGTATTCAATATCAATTAGGTACATTCCATCACCAAAAAAAAAAAGTTTACTCCTCTTCAAACACTTTTCCGCATGCAATGCAACAAACAACTAAACCGCGCGACTTCATAAACAAGACTGATTTTCCTCTAGAAGAAGTGCGGGATCTAGAGATACCAATCGGCGTAGCGTTTTGAACGATTTAGTTTTCCACGAAACCCTCGCTTCCTATTGGTTGACCGGATTTTCTTTACACGGAGATGAGGCCAAAAAAGCAATCCCCACTTCGCTGCGGATTACACGAAATGCAGTCCACAATTTATGATCATTTAGTGGTGCAATATGGTGGTGTCTTTGATGGTGTCAGTTTGAGTGCATAATTTAATGATCCAACATACATTAGGGGTAATTTAATTTGCAATTATAACCGTGGGATTGCTAATTTTGTTTGGGTAAAATACCTCAAAGGGTATGTGGCATGGGCAATACTCTGCGCCATGCTCTCTTCCTCTCTCTTTCTTCTCTCAGATATGTTGTTTAACTCTCAGCTGATTTTGTTAGTAGGCCCCGCCCCTGCTCTGCCGTTCTATTTTTAGATTGTGGCAGCGTGCCCACTTGAAGTTATTTTCAATGTGGCTGCGTTTTGTTATCAAGCTTCCAAAAGAAATCCTAAATATGTTTCGAGCAGTTTGAAAGATGAATTGCAATGAGGAATGAACGCAACTGCTAGAATCATGAAGCAGTCGTTACAGGTCGAGATAAGCAAATGGTCGTTACCGACTGTTAACATTTTGGTTTCAAACATTATTAGGTCATCTATAGATAAACTTAATTTAATTTCATGTTTGGTTTGAATGGACTACTGTGTCCAGCAGTTTTGAAGGACTTTCTATCATAAAACTGGACTATTATACTATTTACTATTTTTTTTATAAAACGCACAAATTTTTTCACGAGGTTCTAGAAGCAAAAATCTCAAAATAATGTTTTATTTCGAACTTCTAGTGGAAGTAAACGTCATTCTAACTGCTAGAATGAAATAAAAGAAAGAAGTATAGGAAATTTGAAAACGTATCCCCTTGTCAAATGTACGATTACTCCCACCGAGCAGATATAGCCTTCCAAAACTTGTTTTGTTTACCTACCACAATGTAACAATTGGAGGAACAAGGCGTACAAGTGTAAAAATGAAACCAAAACATCAAACCACTTGACATTTCCTTGTTGTTCTGGTTGTAAAAATTCCCATTTGATCCTTTTCCCACTACATATTTCCATGCATGTCATTATACTCTTGCTTATTCTCCTATACTATAGCTATTATGCACAGAGGCTACCACCAGGAGACACATTTTCTCTAGAGAGCATGGCGCCGGAAAGCCGACGATCAGGAGCAGTAAATTTGTCAACAGATTCTCTACGGCACTTTGTACAAAACCTGTCCGGTGATTCAAGTGGTTTTTGGCGAGGAAAAAATGCTGCTTGAAGCAAGAAGATTTATGATTGTGATGTTCGCTGTGATGGTGGTCGATTCAATTAGACAATGATTTTTAGGAGTGTACTATTTTTATTTAATCGACCGAAACATGTCGAGCTAATTTTGTTTATAATTTTAAACGGCTGGTGATCAATATTTTCATATGATTTACAAAGAGTTGAGTATCTATTTTCTCATCTACCTTATATTTTTGATCAAATTTATAGTAAAAATATTGAAAAATACAAATTCTCAATGCTGGTATTGCTGGATTCAATGGAGATTTACAGTTGTTTTTTTTTGCGGCGAAAAATTGGTACTATTTTTCTATTATAATTCTTAGCGGGAAGCATTCAACTCCGAAAAAATAAATACGATTTGAATATTCTAAAAACAGTAAAAAAAAATTAAGACTAATAACAATTTTTTCAAGCTTCCCGTTGATATATAATATTCTATTGGTCAGATTATTGAAATCTTTGTATCGCAAGCATTAATATTTATCGATGCGCAACGTATTCAGTCTTGGAGCGAATTCTTTGATTAAGCCAAAATGTATACTTCCATGTATCCGTTGCGGAACACTCAGAAAAATACAGTGATACAAATTCAGTGAAACCAATGCCAAGAAATATTAACGATCGAGGACGTTCATCCGAAAAGAGCTTTGTCTCTAAAGTAGATTCCACAGATTGACACACGGTTTAAAAAGCATATGCGTTGGTATCGACCCAAAGTTTTTTTTTCCTTTGGTTTGTTTTTTCCCGACCCAACGTTAACGGATAGTAAGAGAGCTTATTTCATCGGATTCCTCAAACATTTGCTTTAAAATCGCTCATCACTCTCCGAAAAAAAAGCATTTAAGACACATTCTACCAGTAACATAGTAAATGAACAAATGAAAGGAGTTAGTTTAAATATTAATTCAGATTTGGAAAGTGTGACAAATTTCCCATTAAAAATTGATCAATAGTTTATGGTTTGAGTTAGCTTTAAATGATTAGTTGAGCGACTATGTTTCGGGATGTTGCAATGAATTATTCATCTAAATGTTTTGAGCTACTCAAATCAAAAACGTCAAATCTTATAGGAATTTTAACGCACTTTCGAAATATGCAATAACATTTAGGGGTTACTTTCATTGTTTTCATTTACAGTACAAAATCTGTCAAATAATAGACAAATATCGTTGAATGTGTCATGAATAAAATTTGCTTCTATTAATCTAAGAAAACTGACTGCTAAAACCGAAATATTTACAACTCTTTAGGCATGATACTCTTTATCAAGATTGAAATTGAATAATCGCATTATTTTGTGTGATTTTCCCATTTTCCTCAACCGTAACAATTCTTTAGATCATATTTTTAATGGATTGCTGATATAATTTCCATATCATTTCACTACACAACGTTCATTCTACGGTATGAATTTTTAAAGGTAAAATCCGAAAAGTTCGTCCAAAATTTTGCGAGAAAATTAATCATCCCGATTTTTTTTTTGATTTTTTTTTCGTTCATACAATTATAAACTTTACCTGTGGGCTAAATTTAATAAAATTCTGAGATTCTTTGGCCCAAACCTGTCCGATACTAAAACAATTCTCTATACATTTATGCAAATCTATAATCGAATAATACATTTTCCGGTTGGATTATGTAAAATTTAATATTGATCACTTTAAAAAAATAGGGTTAAAAATACTTGAACTAGATAAAAATGGAACTAAAATTTACATGTCTACGGGACTTTAAATGTCATTATTTGGCTTTTGGAAGAAAGATTGAAGGCAAACTTTAAAAAAAATATGATTTCAAGCACTTAGCAAAACAAAAAAGCATATGATATCTAAATATGCAAGCACACGAGACAATATTTCATGGGACTAAACAAAACACAAAAATGTACGCAAGGTCAAACTTCATTGTAACGGCGAGATTCAGAATCTTGGATTCTTTCAAAGTTAAACATAGAAAATCATCAAAAAATTCTGTAGCATGAAACACATGATGCGATTTAGGGGTTCATTTTTACTTCTCGTAAGTTGCAGTGACCTTGAACAATTAAACTTGATAAGTTTAATATACTTTCTCTTGCTGGAGGTTTAACCACTCGTGTTACATCATCGGTTACATCCCCAGTGTACATACCCAGTGGCCATTTTTAGGCGATGTGTGTTACAATGCAATTCTTCTTTACCCAACTATTATTTTGCTTAATAAAAGTATAGCAGCTCCAACTTTGCCGTTCGTTTTTGTTTGTAAACCACAATTAAGATGTTATACTTAATTATCTTCAAGATAAAACGTCCAGCTAAAACCTTCTTTATCTCAAAATTTTCTAAGAGTACCTGTCAAAATTTTCCAAGAATAATCTAATTGTTCTTATATAAAATGTAATAGTGATTTAAGAATTCTCTTCAGAAAACTCTTGAAATTTGCTCAATAGTTCTCTCGCAACCCCTAATTATCGATTCTCTTAGATCATCGCTAGGAATATTATTGAAAGTTCAGAATATCCATGAAATCATCCACAAAGTTGCCTTAAAATTCCTTATTAGAGATTTGTATCGATTTTTCTCCTTTAGTTTACTCAAATCTTAGGTTTTTTAGTTAGGTAGGTTCCGATTCTACACATTGTAGTTTAATTTTTATACCTGTGATCTTGACATTTTTACCTAGGGCATGAGTACTTAGATTAGGTTTTGATAAGTTTTTTTTAGTGGGAATGACACTGATGAAGACTGCATATTGTAGTCGAAATACGTGTTAATAGGGGATCGGATGGACCCTCCTACAATGCCTTCGATCCCTGGTCTAGCCACGGGGACCATTGAAGGTGGGCTCTCAAGGCCTCTTTTGATTGCTCCCGGCAAGCTCGAGCTTGAGGCTCTTTTGCGCTCAGGGTCGGCTTTTATCAAGGGAATCTGCTTAATAAGAGTCCAGTCACCAGATAAAAAAAACTACACGACGCAAACTAAAGTTAAACACATTTTTATTCTGATTTACAGCAATGGTATGTGTGTTTGTGGGTATGAAGGGCCGGCCGGCTGCTGCTGCGGAAGAGCGTGGTGGGACGTCGTAGGTTCGCGATCGGTTGTTGGTCATGCGGACCGAAAAGCACCTGATCGGCTGCGCTCGGTGATGTGCTGGCTGGATACGACGGCATCGGTACCCCTGGCCTAACCTCTGCGGACGGAGGCCACGTGGGCTGTGGGTCTATCCGTGAACCTGCGATCACAATGGACCTTTGGCTGGTCGAGGTTGGGGTTTGGTTACGCACCTCGCACGGGACTTTTATTCCAGGTCAGCTAACCGGTAACGGAACGACTTCAACCGAAATACAATAGGTCCTGGTTGGGTGAGGAAAATATCAAAGGCGGCAGGTGTTACCATAGAGCACTACTGGTTTTGGGTTCCGGGGTCCATAATCGTTTTATGGGTGATTAGGCCTACCTACAATATAAATTGAGATTATAGTCACTTTTTCACTTCACTGTGCACAACTGGTCTAGT